GTGGCTACCGAAATCATTTTGACACTGGGACAGGCATTTGAAGTATGCTACAGGATCGCTGGTAAATCATGTGGAAGTGATGAATGAATTATTTGTTCAGTTGTACTGCTTTTTACTTTCAGAGAGGAGTTTTGTTTTACAAACAACTTTTTGAATTAGGCATAGCAAATACGCAAAGTGTTATTTATAAGGTTGCTTACTGATAGTTAGGTCAGATCTGTGAGTAAATTATTCATCGATACGGCTTTGATAAAGATTTGTTTCATCTGAAAAAATTGGTGTGCTAAATATCAAATGTATTTTAACAAAATTCACATCTGCAGTTTATGTTGTTTTTTTACACTGTTGCATTCATTCCACCTTTGAAACGTTAAACTTTTTCGAAAAATTGTCCAAATGATTTTCATAACAATATCTGTTAGCAGATTACTTTTTTGATTTTTCATGAACAAAATACAAAACCGCTCGGACAGTCAGCGTGGATTCGGTATTAGTGCTATCACTGGGGTGCGTTACGTCGGTGATCAGTTATGCCGTGCATTTTTCTCCTGAATCGCGTTCCTCTAGCTAATAATCACCGTCAGTGCGTGCATCAACTCTTCAGAAGTCGCCTGGAATGGTCGTTTTCGTCCTGGCGAGTGCCACTCGCTTAACGTTTGTCGGTTATTTAACAAGGCGAGTAACATATCCTGCCTATCGAATTTTACTTGCTGGCTTGGTCTCTACCACATCCTTCACTTCAATCACCTGGCGGAGTGTTTTACTGCTTGCACAGTTACGTTGTACATATGCATTCTTCAATTCCTTCACTGTTTTCTTTCTCGAACTTAAAATTGCAATTTTTCGTTTTCTTTTCCTAAACAAAAAATGGTGGTTTTTATGTTAGTATTTTATCCGTTTTGTGGTGCAACGCCAAAATTATCCGGGAAAATAAGAAGACTTGAACTGTATGGCGCAAAAGTTAATCGTAAAAAGGCCAAAATTTAACAGCAGGAAATAGTAAAAATGAGCAAGAATGTGCTAATTTGCGTTGAGAAGTGAAAATTAAATGTAGAATGCCGCATTTAGGGTCATATCATTAAGAGCAGTTGTCTTTCAGCAACGCGAAAAAAGCTGGATTTCTTGTTCAGACCAAGTAGGGAATGAGGGAAGAGGTGCCAGCCAAGAGGGAACTGATGGAGAGGTATCGAACACATTGTTTTGGTCAATGGATGCCGGCACTGCGGGCAGGCTATTATTGTGGACACGTTCAGCTTTATAGCTTTTATAGGTTTGGAAAATGCGGGCAAACATTGCATATACACACACACATATGCAGCCCCTTGACATTATGTGTTTTTGCACTGTGTAGATGCAGAAACCTATGAAAACAGTTCGGGAAGTCTTTATGAAGGATTAACTCTAAAAGAATGGATAATGAACGAATTGCAAATGAAAAGATCGGCCTTTTTCTTGAATTTGTGCGAGTTTTAACGGTGATTGGAAAGTGTGCGATCCATGTTTACAGTTTTTGAACGAAAGAGTGAAAAAAAGCGGAATCCCGAATAGCGAAACGCTAATACTTGGCAACTGCTAAAACTTGTCTCGGCTCATCCGAACTGGGAGACGGATTGGAGCAATTATAGTGTTCTTTCTCAGATAGTAGGGCAGGGGTTGGAGTAGGTGAAGGGTGGAAGAAAGGGACAAGGGTGTGGTTTAGGTCTTGAAAAGTCGAAGGAAAGGGACGAAGGTGTTGACTGGAAAGGAGCTGAGGCCTTTTTCAGAAGTAAAAAATTGCTAGGAGGTTTGTGGCAGTTTCTTCGACTAATTTACGTGGTTGGGTGAGAGCTGCATGTTCATTTCAAAAACTTCAAGCTGTATGAAGCAGCCGTGTCAAAACAGCTTATAAACTCTAAATCTAGGGCTGCGCCGTTGCAGAATAAAATATTGCGCTGATCACCAGGACCATCTGGACTGCCAGTGCGGCATTGCTTTGCAACTCCTCGTGATGCAGTCCAGGGCTGATAGCAGTTTTATTTGTAGTAACCAAAACTGGATTATTCGTGTCCAGTTTTTACCTGTAGTGTTACAGACACGAACAGCGACTGTTCGTTTTCAGAGATTTTGCATATTCATTTCAAAATGCAGCGGGTCTCTTTACTTTTCGCTACTAGGGTAGTATTTCCTGGCAGTTCAAAATAACATGATGCTTTCATTTCATTCTTTTACTGTGGCATTACTAGTTCGCAGTTGCATTAACAGCGAGCACTAGCAGTGCCTTAAACATATTTATTTATTTTGAATAAATTAAGTTTGCTTGTTATACACTTATTATACATCAGAAGCATCGTTTTTGACAATGATAACAACACCATTATCAACAAGTAGTCGCCGATATTGTGGCTTTTCCGCCGCTGTTACTGTCGCTTTACTCGTGGACGTTGTCGTCGCTGCTCCCACTGTCATCGTCGCTCCTGGAGCTGACGCAGTATTTGTACTAACACCATTATAAATATCGGATGATCTGGTTGCAAACACGTCGTGTCCACCACCCTGGGTTGTTGAAACATCACAGCGTCCATAGTCATCACGCTGACTACTACTAGCACTGTTACCCGTTGATTCGTTATTTATCGCATATTTGAATAATTTCTTAGATGATAATTTGCGAACACGTCGTTTTGGTGCAACTGTTTTCGCGGACGAATCACACATCAGCCGACCCAGTTCACGGCGTAACTGGAAAAAAGATGGATAGCCTAGCTTCATGGATTTCCTAGTTACACTTGGTTACTCGCGGAACTTTTATATTTTTAGAAACTCGTAAAAAACATGGGCGATTGTATGCGCCACCAGTAAGCACAATACTTAGTGACACAGATAAAGTTTTATTGAGAGGGGCACTTTTGTAAGCTTTACTAGATGG